GACGACGGTTAACGTTGTCCCAACGACTTGCGTTGTCGGTGCATCGTCTACAAATGCGATTTCCCCAACAACGCCTCTTATGTTGACGTCAACGAACAATTCGACGACGAATATTTCGACTAATACAACAACGATGATGAACAACAACAATAATAACAACAACAACAACAATAATAATAACAGTATCAACAACATCAATAGCATCAATCAAGCAGCAATAATGGTAGGCGGAGCACCGACGAGTACGACATTAGTTGCGACAACTCCTCAAGTTAATTCCCTCCTACCATCGACCACGGCCCTACAGTTGACCACCAACAACCCTGTGAATGCTGCCAACGCAGTCATCAATGCAGCATCTAACGCAGCCGCAGCAGCAGCAGCAGCCATCGCTACTCTCACGGCTTTACCATCGACCCTATCCTCCTCTTCTTCATCTTCTTCTTCTTCTTCTACCTCCTCCTCCTCGTCTATATGTTCCATTTCGTCCACCACGCAACAACAACAACAACAACACCACCACCAACAACTAGTACTACATCAACAACAACAGGCCGTCCAACCGACGACGACACCTACCTCGACGTCCACCGGTACCGTGACGGTCGCCGTTCAACCGGACAATACCCAGCAGGCCCAGACCCAGACGCAAAGTGGTCAGGAACTTCTGGAGGTAAGATGTCGTATGAGACGATCCCCCCTAACCACCTTTAATCTTTCCCTTAAACCTTAACCTGTTAAGCGTTTAGATCGCATATATGCGACACAAACAGTTAACAGTTTAATCCTCCCCCACATCAACGTTCTCCTATCTCTCTCTCTCTCTATCTATCTATCTATCTATCTTTCTTCATCGTCATCATCACCGATCTTCCTTCCTTCCTTCCTTCCTTCCTTCCTTCCTACCATCCTTCATTCTTGTCTTCCTTTCATTCTCTCTAACCACCTTATTTCGTTCTTCGACGTGTTACTATGAGGTAAGAGACCTTGATTACTGCATCCCCCAGTGGTACTATTCCCCTTCGTCTTTCATCCCCCCTTAATCGACAAGATCGATTACTTCTTCACGTGAATTCGTTTATTCATTCGTTCGTTCGTTCGTTCGTTCGTTCGTTCATTCGTTAGTTATGAAGATTAAATAATAAATCATTAGGATAATTTACGGTCGAACGAGGAAAACCTTGATTAGGTATTTTTTAGGTTCTTTTTTATCCCTAAACACCTAATCATCAATTTATCCCTAATATATATATATATATACTATACATCCCCCAGATCCAAAAAAATGTTCTCGTGAATTTTTTCAAGCCACGAACGAAGGAGACAACAACGATGCTCGATAATTCGCGATTTGTTGAAATGTGGCTCAAGCTTGAGCTTCGAAAGTACCAATCAACGAAATAAAAAGAGAGAGAAAGAGAGAGAGAGAGAGAGAGAGAGAAAAAAACAAGAATTTAATCTAAAGGTGTAAGAAATTTACGATCGATCGATCATCATATTTTTCTCTCGATCTCGATCTTTTCCAATTTAAATTATCGGTACTTTCGAATGCTGTTTTTTGATAATCTGTTTGCACGTATCAGCTTAATTTATGTTTCAAGTAGTTTTTAAAATAATCACGATAACGCGTTATTATATCGTTGTGTTACGTATATCAAATTTTTTTTCTTATTGGTTTTTTACTTTTTTATTACCATGTTTCTTATATATATATATATATTTTTTTTATTTTAATTTTTTTCTATTTATTTTTATTATTCATTTTATTTTTAAACATACATACATACATGCAATGAACTATTATTAGTGGGAGAAATACTCGCGTCATAGTTGCATGCACGTTGTCGTTCTTTTGTTTTTAAATTAATCGATGGATCATCTAATAAAAAATTGTCTTGAGATTATTTTCAAATCGAAATGAAGAGAGAAACAACGACAAAATATATATAAAAAAAAAAGAAAAAAAAAAACAAGGCAGGACATGTGTACGATGCGCGTACACACGCACATATATATGAGTCTATTTTGGCAAATTTGTGTTTCCAAACGGAATTGAATGATGGTCGACCCAAAAAAAAAAAAAAAAGAAACATATATTCAAAAATTCATTGAGATTCAAATACTTCGATTTCACGTGATTTTTCACGACAAGTGAAATCGAAGATATTTCACGAAACATTCTATGTTTAATCTATAACGAATAAAACTCAAACTCAGTCCTATTAAAAACTTCTCTAAATTTTGCGAGGAAAATGAGAGGAGAAAAAAAAGAAAGGAAAATGAAACAAACCATCGTCGTTTAGGGCAAACACCGTAATCGAGTCACGTCAGAAACCAAACCAGAAAAAAAACATCAGAATTTTTTAATAAACAAAAAAAGGCTGGCGATAAACGTAGGCACGATGCGTACGATGATGTATGAAAGAAAAAAAAAAAAACATTCAATATATATGTGTATATTTATTTTTATATAAATTATATAAATGTAAAAATATATATA